GAGAGAAGGAGGCAGAGGAGAGACAGGAGTGAAGAGGACTGGAATAAACTGCAACTAAGACCAACCAGCCTGGGGCTCCTTTCTTCCGTCGTCTGCCCTTGGTCAACAGCCATCCCGATCTAGGCCCCACACAGCAGCTCAAGAGCACTGAACGTGGGCGGTGTGATAGAGCTGTCCAGAGAGCCCGCGAACACACAACCTTCAGCGTGTTAAGATTTTACACCCCCGCACCCCCAGCAGCTCTAGGAGTTATCTCTGAGTTCAGAGCCAGGAAGAAGTCCTGAGTACTACAGGGTGTGGCCTACAGAATCAAAGAAAATTAAAACATTTTTAGAAATAAGGGGCAGAGTGATAGTATAGCAGGGAGGGCATTTGCATTGCACACAGCCAACCTGAATCTGCTCCCAGTACCCTTTTTGATCCCAGGGGCACCACCAAGATTGATCCCTGAGCACAGAGCCAGGAGTAAGCCTACTTACAGGGCCACCGGGTGTGCCTCCCCCAAAATCAAACAAACAAAAAAAAAAATAAACCCAAAAGTTATTGAGGAGGTCAGAGAATTCTAGTGTGAATGAAGAATGTGAGGAAACAATGTATTATGACTGCATTAAACAGGTCCTGAAGGGGCAGGGGTATGTATTAGTTATTCTGATGCTGCTGTACATTTATACTGAGACTGAATAGTTTCAGTCAATGAGTAACATATGGTAGCAGGCAGATATATAATTTAAGGAGTGAGCGGTTACAGATCAGAGAAAGAAAGTGGCTGGCAAGATCCATGTGGTGATGGATTACAGAGACATCAGCACGAACTCCTACTCAGCTTCAGACAGATCCACACAGACACAGCACAAATGAGCACATATGTACATATATACATGCATCTCCCCTGCCCAATCAGCTGCAGGGGATGACAGTAACAAGATCATGCATTCAGACACCTTCCTCCACTGAGAGGAAACACAGGTCCCTGCTCACACAGCTCTTTCTAGCACTAGGGCGAAAAACCCCCAAAGTTTGTAAGCCTGAAGCAACTTGTAGTGCCAGAAAATAAGAGAGTACTAAGATCCCACTCCCCCCCTAAAAAAAAGAAAAAAAACACAGAGGGCCAGAGAGATAGTTCAGTGGGCTGGGCACCTTGCAAAGTAAACTTTACAAGTGGGGCACCCAGTTCAAGTCACCCTCTGGTCCCCCAAGCACAAGGGAAATCCCCCAAGTACTGCCAGGTATATACTTCCCCCCAAAAAATACCCACACCATGAAGGGGTTATGTTAAGGGGATATAATAACCAGACAAAAAAGGAAGCCAAAGCTAAAACAATATGAGGACCAAAATAAAACCTTTTTAAATTTTTTTTTTTTTTTTTTACTTTATGGGTCACACCTGGTGATGCACAGGGGTTATTCCTGGCTCAGCACTCAGGAATCACTCCTGGCGGTGCTCAGGAGACCATATGGGATGCTGGGAATCGAACCCGGGTCAGCCGCGTGCAAAGCCGACGCCCTACCTGCTGTGCTATTGCTCCAGCCCCAGAATTCCAAAAAATTTACATAGCTACTCTGGCCTGCAAGGAGGAAAAGCTTTCCTATGAGCAATATATACTAATAGCTGTCCAAAGAACAGAATAGAAAAGGGAGAAAAAATGAACTGTATGAAAGAGAAATCTGATACACCAGAATATAAGAAGGTCAACATCAAAAGTCACAGGCCTGGGGCTGGAGCAATAGCACAGCGGGTAGGGCGTTTGCCTTGCACGTGGTCGAGCCGGGTTCGATTCCCAGCATCCCATATGGTCCCCTGAGCACCGCCAGAGATAATTCCTGAGTGCAGAGCCAGAAGTAACCCCTGTGCATTGCCGGGTGTGACCCAAAAAGGAAAAAAAAAAGTCACAGGCCCTACAGTTCAATGAGCTGAGTGCAAGTTTTGCATGCTAGAGGTCATTCCCAGTACCACGAATGGTTTCCAAGAACCACCAGGAGAAACCCCCAAGCATAGCCAGATGTGTCCCCCAAAACAAAAAGGAACAAAAAACTGTAAAATCACAAATCATGTTGATAACCACACACCCGTGATAGGACGAGATGAAAATGACACTTGATCTGGGTAGTCTTCCTCCCCAAAACACATAATCCCAGTCTAATCATCAGAAGAATATTGAGGGATATCTCAAAATTCCTGACTAACACTCATCAAAATTGTTTAGGTCAGTGGTTTTCAACCTTTTAATACCAAGAATGGCACCTGTCCAAACACCTGTCTGCAGACTAGCAGTTAAGAACCTTTGTGGCAGATGAGTGGTTTTCAACCTTTTCTGCTTCAGTCCATGGACCACTGAATCATTACCAGCCCAAGACATCAAAAAGTCTTGGCCTGGAGCAATAGTACAGGGGGTAAGGCCCTTGCCTTGAATGCAGCTGGCCTGGGTTTGATCTCTGTCACCCCATATTGTCCCTGGGGCACAACAAGAAGTGATTCCTGAATGCAGGGCCAGGAGTAATCCCCGAGCATTGCTAGGTACACCCTACAGACCCCCCAGAAAACAAAAATTCTACGGAATGAGAGTATAGCAGAAGAGGGTACCTGCCTTGCATGTGGCTGACCTGGGTTCAATCCCTGCCATCCCCATGGTCCCAAGCCCCACCAGGAATGATCCCCGAGCACAGAACCAAGACTAAGTGCTGAGCAACTCTAGGTGTGAACAAAAAAACCAAAAAATAAAATTAAAAACAAAACATCGTCTGAGGGATTGCCAGAGCCAAAAACAGCATGACTGCTAAATGCAATGCAGTATGCTTAAAGGGGGAATAGAACAAGGGTATTAAGTGAAAACAAAAGCAATCTGAATATAATAAAAATTGTAGTCAATAATAATGTGTCATCACTGACTCATTATAGTAAGCGTGCCACAATAACGAGATGTTGATAAAGTTAATATAAACTGTTGACTCTTATCTCCATGATAATTTAATAAATTTCTCCAAAGGCCAGGTCGTAGGACGTCTGTTTCACACACAGCCAAGCCTGGTTCAATCACGAGCATCCCATATGGTCCCTCGAGCACCACCAGGAGTGAGTCTTGAGTGGAGCCAGGAGTAACTCCATAACTCCTGAGCATTGCCAAGTATGGCCCAAAACCAAAATAATAATGTCTCCACAGTACACAGAAAAACTATAAGTTATTCGAATAGTTCAGCATTTTTTTCTTGATCTTGGACAACACCTGGCTCTGTGCCCAGGAGCCACCCCTGGTGCTGCTCAGGAAGCCACATGCAATAATGGCACTTGAACTAGCATCATGGTCACGCTGCATGCTAGGCAAGATCCTTGACCTTTATACTATCTCTTTAGCCCTGAGTATCTGAAATTTTAACAAAGAGCTCGAGAAGGAAAACACATAACTAGCATGTGGAAGCCCTGAATTCCCTTCCTGGCACCACCCAGCATGGTACTGAGGGATCCCAAGGACTGCTGTGAATGGCCCCATTTTGAAATAGGTATCACTTCCCTTTTCCTCTCTCTATGTGACTGCTGCAGACATTCGGCAGCAGTGCTCATGCATATTTCCGCTATGACTATAGTGCTCACAGGATCACATACTTCACACATGACACAGGATTCCAGATGGCAATGCTGCTGGGACTCACTTCACTTCATGCCGACAAAGTAGTAACTCTGCAACTGAGCAGACCCTGGCACCCAAGAAGATTGGGGGGGGGGGCGCGGTTTAAAAAACAAATATTTTAAATTAATGTTTTATCTCTTAAAAATAAATTTTAATAATTTGTTTTATCTATTAAAATAAAAATAAAAAACACATAAAGCAACATACAGTTAATGTCTAACTGGGAAGACTCATATTCTGTCCAAGCCTTCTATGGGATACAGAAAAAACAATTGAATTTCAGCCTCAAGTTTGCAATCACTGTCAATTCAGGAAATATCTTCAAATATAAAGTATATTTATTTCATTTTCAAACTTTCAATAGTTTATTATCTGTGGTTCTATAGTGAGCTAATGGCATTTCATGATTTGTTATGAAATTAAGCTAGCATCAACACACGCCTGTGCATACTCTAGTAGGCCCAGAGAATATAGCAAATTTTAGACTGTCAGTCTATCAGAAAGTACTACATCACAGAGAAAGCTAAGTAAGTTCCTTCCTCTCCTCCAACTGTGAATGAAAGCCAAATTATGAGAAAGTTACTCAAGAATCATTTAGAGGGGCCTGAATATGGGATCTGTGCTTGTAAGACCCTGAGCTCGATCCCAGGCCATCCCAGTGTATAGCCCGAGAGTATTTCCCTCCCCACTACACACACTGCAGTAACAAGAAACCCCTGGAACCACCCAGAGGCAGCTTTAACACATTCATCACTACCACCATCGGTTACCAGATTAGAAATATTTGGAGGCTACAGAAAGAGCTCAAGAGACAGCGCATACCCTCTGTTTGCAGAAGGCCAAGGTTTAAGATCCAGCACCAAAAGGTCCTCCAGGCACTGCCAGGAATGATATGAGCCAAGAGCTGGAAGCAGCCCCTGAGCAGTGTCAGGTGTGGCCCAAAAACACACACAAAAAGAAATGTCACTGTCTATAAGAACTTCAGGCAGATCATGAGTCATCTTCAAGAAAGGGAAAGTGTGGAGAGCAAGACAGCTGGTGTTGAGTTTCTAAAGGCTTATTTTATTCCCCTTAATATCTTGAAAGACTGGCACTACAATAAAAGAACCATGTGTCGACCCAAGCGATAGTCCAGTGGGTAGGGAGCTTGTCACGTGGCCAACCCAGGGTCAATCCCTGACATCCCCGAGCCCACCAGGAGTAACCTGAGTAGAGAGTCTGAAGCACTGCCTGCAGGGTATGCCCCCCAAACACAAACAAAAAGAACCATGTTATAGATGTCTGTGAAGCTCTGCCTTGTTCAAAAGGCAGCAGTAAATAAAGTTCACGTCCTTGAAACACAGGGTTACAAAGAAATATCAACTGAATCCTACTTACAAGAGTTGTGGCGCCGACGGAAACTCTTGGACTGACTCAAGGACTCCATATGCCTATCCACATAGCTCTTTGAACACTGCTGCTGCTGGGGGGAAATGGCAACATCTTGACTCTTCATGTCTGTCCTCTTGGGGATGTTCTGAGGGGCACTGCTGGAAGAGACTGGCTTCTTGACCAACTTGCCTGTGCCATTCTGATTGAGACCCATTTGGTACCCAATACCAGAGGGGCCTAATTCTGTCTGATGAAGGTCTCCAAAATGTTGGTTGTCTCCAGGACCTGGTATCTCCAGAATTTTTAATTCTGTAATGTCACCTGCCCTGAAACACACAAAAGAGTTTGAGTCTCAAAACTGTAACGGTGACAAAACTGGTGAGAGCAACCAGCCACACCTTAGGGGCTCTGCAAGTCCTCCAGTTATCAGAAGCAAAACCCAGGTGGCCAAGTATTTTAACACAGGGCTCAGCTACCAACTTCCAAACAAAACAGCACTTGGTTTTTTAAAAGACCTACCCTTAATCACAATATTAACAATAGTATCTTAACTTTCCAAAATGCTTAATAGTTTGTGGGGGACTGGACTGATTGCTGGAGAGGTAGTGGTTGATGCACTACCTTACTTTGACCAAGATTGTGAAGCAGCTGGTATTCGGGAAGCAGCTGTGGCACTGGTGGAGGAAGAGGAGGAAGTTCACTGTTAGCAACCCACAAAGAGTTACCTGAACTACCTAAATGCGCCGAATTATTCCACTTTTGAGACCAGTAACACGAATGAATCGGAAAGATGGGCTGCCCAACAACGAATAGAACTATTCAGTATGAAACGATACGAACTTCTAGCCCCTTTCTCAAGACGGACAAATGACATTACTGCATGACAAGAATGTGTGAACAATTCTATAGACTAGTCAGAGCACCAGGGAGTTTGAATTGAGAACCTAGAGGTAATATCACAACATAGATGTGATGCCTGAAAAAAATATAATGAAAATCTAGTAAATATGATTGAACAGGCACAGAAGGATCTCCAGAAGTTAAGGAAATGTTCAAGATTTAAAATGCCAGCAAACAACAACAACAACAACGACAACAAAATATGCAACCTTGTAGCCAGAGCTATAGTACAGCAGGTATGGCATTTGCCTTGCACATGGCGAACCTGGGTTTGAGCCGCAGTATCTCATGGTACCCAGAGTCCTGTCAGAACTGATCCCTGAGCACAGTTAGGAGTAAACCCTGAGCACCACTGGGTGTAGCTCAAAACAAAACAACAACAACAACAAAAAAAAATAGGCAACTCACAATTAGATCTAAATTAAGAGAAATGAAGTCAAACTGGGTCTCCATATACACAGGAACTGTGAGACTGAAAGGACTACAATACAATTAGAAAATGAAAATTTTCAAATGAAGCAACAGCATGGAGAGACAAATAATAACAACAAAAAAAATTCAGCAAGATTTCTGAAAAGACAAGTTAATTTGGGTTGAAAGGTTTAAATAAGGATCTTCTGTGTTCAGCTTTCACAGAAGATAAGGCCCCTGAGCTATGAAGAACAACAGTGTCTTGTGGAAATCACCAACGGTTAAAAGTTTAGAAACCACAGGATGTGGATTGTTATGTTCTGCTTTTACATTAACAAAAAAATTCAACTTGAAAAAATAGCATGTGGGGGCTGGAGCGATAGCACAACGGGTAGGGCATTTGCCTTGCATGCGGCCGACCCGGGTTTGAGTCCCAGCATCCCATATGGTCCCCTGAGCACCGCCAGGAGTAACTCCTGAGTACAGAGCCAGGAGTAACCCCTGTGCATCCTGGGTGTGACCCAAAAAGAAAAAAAAAGCATGTGGGGGTGTGTCTTTCCCTCATTAATTCATTCACTTGCTCTGGAGTTGAAGAATCAGTGGTAAGCCCTATGCTAGAACGAGGTATATATAGGGATGAAAATCAAAACATGCCCATGAAAAATCTGCCTTGAAGTTTTAATCTCTGAAAAAAGACAAGAAGAAAAATGAAAGAGTTAAATACTATGACAGAAGTGTGCAGAGGGGTTAGTTTAGCAGATAACTAAGTTTAGTAGATGGATAAACTTAAGCTAAGTTCGGTTCGCAAAACAAAGAGTAACAGCAGCCCAAGCAAACAGTATGAGAAAGGAGTATTTCAGGAGTTGGAGAGAGAGTGCAGGGGTTAAAACACTTGTCTTCCACACAGCCGATCTGGGTTCAATTCTGGTCACCCTATGTGTTCCCCTGAGACCTGCCAGGAGCGACCCCTGAATGTAGAGCCAGGAGTAAACCTGAACAACATTGGATATGGCCCAAAAAGGCTCTCAGGGAATGAATTATACCTACACTGCATTTTTCAGGTGCCTGTACAGGGAAGGTGAAGAAACTAGAAGCAAGAATACCAGTTAGAAGACCAATCACCAGCATCCCATATAGTCCCCCGCGCACCGCCAGGAGTAATTCCTGAGTGCAGGGCCAGGAGTAGCCTCTGAGCATTGCTGGGTGTGACCCAAAAAATCAAGAAAAAAAAAAAAAGGAAGACGGGGAAGACATGAAGACATAAGAGAGAATAAAGAGAGCAAGTGGGGGCCAAGGAGATGGCTAAAAGGGCCATGAGCACAGGTTGTCTATCTAGAGCATGGGTTCCAGACCTAGCACTAGACGGTCCCCTAAAAACCACCAGTGGGAGTAAGTATCAAGCAAGCAACAAGTGGAGTAGCCTCTGAACAGTCAAGTATGGTCCAAACACTGAAAAACAAAAAAGAAAGCAAATAACAATTGCTTTCAATGCAAAAGGGAGAGGGGAGAATGAAACAAGAGACATCTGGAATCCAGAAGACTGGCATAATTCATGACTGATTATAAAGACCAAAGAAAAAAAAAAACCCCACAGAATTAGGGACGCAAAAGTGGCTAACTGCCATACTGCCATGAATAGCCCAGTGGTCCCTTGAATACCACCCAAAGTGGCCCTCAGTAGCAACACCTAAAAAGAGTAGCAGAGGAAAAAAAAGAAAAAAAAATCAAGAAAAATGTATGATGACACCCAGGTTCTAGCTGAACCTAAGGACTTTAGGTAGTCAATCAAGTATGTTTCCGAAACTAAACGATGATACAAATCAATAAAACAAATATCTTTAAACAGGGAAAGAGTCAACAGAGCCCTCAGATGTAAGAAAGCACAAAGACAAAGCTGAGAAGGAAAATCTAAAATCGCCTAAGAATAAAGGCTTATTCTCAACTAGACCCATTTAAAATATGAAATACTGCATGTTTAACAGAAGTAGGGAAACTTTCATGATCATCGTTCACGGCACCTGAACTAGAAGACGAAGACCGAAGACTGTCCTGTCTACTGGCAAACCTCCTCAAGCAACTCCTCCAAGACTACACTGGCCATCAGGAGTGCAGTCACAGATCTCCAGACAAGATACAGGTAACTCACCTGAAGGTGACTTCTGGCACAAGGCACTTCACTCCATTGTGGAAAGGCCGGGTAAGAGAAATGGTCTGGCTGACCTGATCCACCGCAGACACTCTTCCTTGATAAACACCTAAGCTCTCACCACAGGTGATGGACACGATACTTCCCAGCCAGTCCGCAGCCATGTTTCAGACGTGTGACCACCGTGGAGAGAGACGTCACACAGCAGGCCTTGGAAAAGACACATCTTTAGTTAACTTCAGCAAGTACTGAGGTGAAGAGGCTATGCCAGGCTCTATACCCAGTGCTCCTTAATAAGCATATTCCGTTAAATCCTTAACTTAATAAAGAATAACACAACATTTTTCTTTCAGAGTACACATATTAATGAATGAGCAATATCCCTTAGTACACAGCAAGCTCTTAAAGTTATTTTAAATCGAATCGGCCAAACCATAATCTGTCTGTGCCTGGGGGCGGGGGAAGGACCTTCCCAGAGGTGCAGGATTCCACCAAGGCTGTACCTGACCGTGCTTTGGAGACCACGTAGTACCAAGGATCAAATGTGTGTGCCTCTCTGAGCCACCTCCCCAGTGCCTATAATCTACTTTTTGTTTTGGTTTCTGGTTTTGAGTCACACTCGGCTGGTGCTCAAGGATCACTCCTGGTGGTATTCAAGGCAGCAAACGGATGCTGGGTATCAAACCTGGACCACATGCGAAATAAATGTCCTACCCACTGTACTATCACTCCAGCCCCACATATAATCTATGGTTTAATCTGTCAGCAGAATTCTCAAAGAAAACATATTGTAAATAATATATAAAAAAATCAATCTGGCAAGGAACAGAATCACCCTAGAGCCCTTGAAGGATGTACACTATGTCATCATTTTGATTCTGTATTCCCTACTTCTAGAACTGTGAGAGCGTAGTTTTCTGTACTTCTATCCCCAGCTATGGAAATTCTTAAAATAGCTCTAAGAAATTCATATGGCATCTATTTATTATCTCTTTTCACTCTATTTGAGGTTTATTCCTCTTGGTGCGCAATGTGGTTTTCAATTAAAGACTTGTAAATTTAAAAAAAAAATTGTATCTGGTAATGTGGCACTGTCCTCCCGTTGCTCATCGACTTGCTCGAGCTGGCACCAGTAACGTCTCCATTGTGAGACTTGTTACTGTTTTTGGCATATCAAATGTGCCACGAGGAGCTTGCCAGGCTCTGCCGTGTAGGTGGGATACTCTTGGTTGCTTGCCAGGCTCTCCGAGAGGGATGAAGGAATCAAACCCAGGTCAGTCACATGCAAGGCAAACGTCCTACCTGCTGTGCTCTCTCTCCAGCCCAAATCTGGTAATGTATCAAGCTAAACCACTGTTTTATTTTGGGGTCCTTAGCATCACTCCTGGCCATGCTAAGGGGACCATTCAGTGTGTGAATCAAATCTGGGCCTCCAGGATACAAAGCATGCATTCAGCCTAGTGAGTTCTCTCTGGACCCTAATTCATTCTTGACCCCCCCCCCCAAAAAAAAAAGGTTTATGTTGATTGAAGACACCAACACAGGGCTGGCCCTGAAGCATCAAATCCACTGTTTGCTGGCCCTCACACTGAACCAAGACAAGCTGGCTGAGAATCAGAGGGAGGGGTCCTCAGACTTCCTGAGCATCATACCTGAAACTCCCCCCAAATAATAAATATAACGATGGGGGGTGGGGAGAGAGAGAGAGACAGAGAGAGAGAGACAGAGAGAGAGAGAGAAAGTAAGTACAGGGGCTAAGGCACTTGTCCTGCACATAACCAAACCCAGTTCAATCCAATCCCTGTTATTACATATGGCCTTCTTGTGAGTTTCAAATGAAAACTGTGGGGTGGGGGGGTGGGGGGGACACGACCACGCATGGGATTCAAGCTTTTGGTGTCCAAGAGCTGTTCCCCTGGCCGCCCACGGAGACAGACGGACAAAGGACTGGGGGAACGAATAAACAGGGCCCCAGGTTTGTTGGTAGTCAGTTTATTTCTCTCTCCTCCCCAGCGTAGTCTGGTATCTCCCTCACAGCACCAGCATAGGTGTAGTTTTGGTCGTAGTCCCAGTCATCATAGTTCCCTCATCCTCATCCTTAGTTCTCGTCTAGTCCTTCTCTTTGGAAGGAGTCCCGCTCTCCCCTTACAGCACAGTTACATAGAAATCATGATGGGTGGGGGTACACATAGGTGAGGTTGAACATTGTCCTAACAAGCAGAGGTAACTCAAGGACAAAAATCTCATCTGAGAGTTCAGCACTCCAGATTACTAGGAGATCCACTCAAGGGCAGAATTCCATCTAGGGTGTACTGGCGTTCTCCTTTCCTCAGCTAGTAATCCATTTAAACAACCGTAGTAAATTTACTTTTTTTTTTTTTTTTTGCTTTTTGGGTCACACCCAGCGATGCTCAGGCGTTACTCCTGGCTTTGCACTCAGGAATCACTCCTGGCAGTGCTTGGGGGACCATATGGGATGCTGGGAATCGAACCCGGGTTGGCCGCGTGCAAGGCAAATACCCTAGCCGCTGTGCTATTGCTCCAGCCCCTAAATTTACTTATTGTAATATTTCTAGTCATTCTGTATGAACACAGTACAAGAGACATATTAAGCTTAAAGGTTGGCGCTTCCTCAGGCTAGGTTAGTCTTTCCTAACCCCAGCAGGGTCCTTATTCAATGTTACTTCTTTTTGGGTCATAAGAGTTTGTTCCATGACCATGCCTTTTTTTGGGAGGGGGAGGGGGTCACACTCGGCAATGCAAAGGGGTAACTCCTGGCTCTGCACCCAGGAATTACACCTGGCGGTGCTGGGGGACCATATGGGATGCTGGGAATCGAACCTGGCTCGGCCACGTGCAAGGCAAATGCCCTACCCGCTGTGCTATCGCTCCAGCCCCCCAATGACCATGCTCTTAACTTATTATACTTATGGTGCTTAGCTTGTTCCTTTCTGATGCCAGGGTAGCTTACAGCTTGCCCTAGGTCCATCCAGTCCCTTCGCTGGGACCCTGCTTTTGGAATGTTAGGAACTAAAGGCAACTGAGCCTTAAGTCAGGTAAATATGATGGATACTCAGGAGTAAATATTCTTTGGAGTCAATTAACTCCCATGTTACAAGAGCATAGCATCACTCTCTTCCTGTGTCTATACAAAAGGGAGATTGTTAAACCATGCAAGTGACATAAAGGAAAGAGAAAAGCAATATACGTTTATTAGTGCTTACGGAACTGGGTGTGCCTCAGGGGCACTATTGTGGGAGTGACTCAATAAACCTAAACTCTGTGCAGGAGGAGCAAGGACAATCCAATACTATCCAACAGTCCCTTGAGCATCATCAGGAGTGATCTCTGAACACAGAGCCAGCAGTAGTGCCTCCCAACTAGCGCAAAAAGACAAAAAAAAAAGGGGGGGGGCGGACAGGGGGCCCACACCTGGAAGCACCACCAAACAAAAAGTTAAAAATTTGGGGCCTTGGGGAGCAATAGCACAGCAGGTTAAGGCACTTGCCTCTCACATAACCAATCCAGGTTCATCCCTGGCTTCTCATATGGTCCACTGAGCCCCACTAGGAGTAATTCCTGAGTGCAGAGCCAGGAGTTACAGTAATTCCTCAGCACCACCGGGTATGACCTCCCCCCACCCTGCCCACCCCTGCCAAAATAAATACATAATAAGAGAAACTGAGGAGAGAACATGGGCTTATCCGAAGAAAAAGTCTTCTTCAGTCTGTTTCTTAATTTGATACAAATAAATTTATCATTTTACTGGGCCAGGGATGTGGCTCAGCACCAGAGCACCTGCCTTACACACATAAAACCTGGTTTTAAGCCAGCGAAGTGCGGTTTCTGGGGCTAGAGTCATAGTACAGCAGATAACAGAGCTCTCCATGCCATGTACACAGACAGCCAGGTTCAATTCCCAGGATCCCCCCTGGTCCCCCAAGCACTATCAGGAGCAGTTCCTGAGCAGAACCAGGAGCGACCCTGAGCATCACTGGATGTGGCCCCAAAACAACAACAAAAATTTTAGTGTGTCCTTCTTGGTTCATTGTTACATCCGTAACGATGGTTCTTTCGCAATGGCTATATGGTACTTAAGGATACCTCAGAATGTCTTGTTGGAGGCTGTTATGAATAGAGAATTAAAACATTTTTGTGTGTCTTTGTTGGAGACAAAATTACCCATTTTGGCTGGCATTTTAAATAGGAATTCATAGAATATGAGAGTATTTTGCTCAAAACCTAAACTCAGGATTTTCAGACTACTAAATGCTACCCCAAGAATACAGCTCTGGAGCTGGCGCCATAGTACAGTGGGTAGGGTGTTTGCCTCGCATGCAGCTGCCCAGTGTTCGATCCCCAACATCCCATATAGCTCCCTGAGCACTGCCAGGAGTAATTCCTGAGTGCAGAGCCTGAAGTAACCCCTTAGCACCACTCAGTGTGACCCATCCCTCCCCTAAAAGGGAGGGGAAAAAAAAAAAACAGAGCTCTATGCCATCATTTCTCTTGTAAGAAGCCTTTAGGTAAAAAAGACAAGTAGATCTAACTGATCTACCATCATACAATTGTGGCAGTTGACAAAGTGACCCTAAACCACAAACAGACCTACAGACCAAAGACTTTTATCTCCTCAGACACAGCAGACGGAACTCAAAGACCCCGGACACAAGCTTAAGGTCCCAGATTCACTGTTCTGCAAAGGACAATCATAACCAATACTTGTACAAATAAATGCATTCATTCACTGCAGACTTACAAAAACCACTGTAGCTGGTAAGCTGTTTGTAGAATTAAAATTTTGAAATAGCAGAAATTGTAAAAGAAAACATCTTGTATAATCCTAGTACTAAATCTTATCTTTGCCATGAAAGGCAGCACAGTGGAAAGGCATGGATTTCTGAGGCCAAACATCAAAGGCCCAGATTCAGTTCAAGAGTTGTTCTTTGACGTGATAAATTATCCTGACGCTCAATTATATCATCTATAAAAACAGGAATCATATCATTCATCTATTCCACCTCCTAAAACCAAAGGATATAATTTGTCAAATGACAAATTTTATTTCAAATGTCTCTTTTTAACCACAAGACCACTAACCAGATGAGGATTTATGGGTCTAAAAACGTCATACTAATTGAGAACCACCTTCCTTCTCATCTAAACAAAACTACAAATATGCCTCAATTATCTCTTCAGCATTTCAGAAA